AAGGCCTCTCATGGCCAAATGGCGTCACAAATATGTACAAGATGGAAAGAATTAGGATTAGGAATAAAAATAGCAGCAATATGCATACCCTTAAAGACTCAACAGTTGTCAAAATCGAATTTAACTCCATGTTATTACCAGAGTTTTTATATATTTATTGGGTCAGATTTAAGGTCTACCCGTTCATTGGAAACGTTAGGAAATGTATGAACTGTCTACGCTGGGGACCTCAAGCTATTGTCGTGGCAGAACAGCATGCTCTAATTGCGGGGAAGATCACGATTTCAACACGTGCTCAAATATAGCTACCACGTGCATTAACTGTAAAGGCGATCATCATTCTTTAAATTATAACTGCCCAATATACTACAAATTTAAGATCATCAATTCGATAATGGCTTACTGCAATGTTAACCAATTTAAGGCAAAAAAATTGATGAAAAAATTTAATATTACTGATCTTAACAGTATTCCGGTAATATTCAAGAGTTACACCTATCTAGCGTGGAACATGAACGTATTCCAATCGGAATCTAGCGCGATCGAGCACATGAATAATTCTAGACAATTACGCCAGATTATACCTCCCATAAACCTCAACAGAAAACACAAACCCCTCGTTACAGAGAATCTATTAGTAAACAACCCCATAACCAAGAATCTATACCCCCCGTGGATTATTTCGATCACATTTTAATCCCACAAACTAGAGAAGATTGCTACTCGGATTTGAGTCTCGAATCGAATAGACCTAGATCTAAGGAGTCATTAATATCGGATGAGGATACTCGTCGTCCTTCTGAACTTCTAGTAAGATCGATTTTGAACCGATCAAACAGATTCCTATCTGCCTCCTTTCCAAATTTGAACTCTAGTCCTTGCAGATCAAGCTCTACTATGTCAAAAATTAAAACCATCTTAGGGGCATTCGAATCGGAAGAGTCAAAATCACTTACCATGTATGAATATATTAACATGTTAATAGGATCAAAAAACAGTATAAAGAATTAACATTGCCTCGAATTTAGTCGGACATCGTAATGTAAATTTGAATTTTCGGGATTGGCTATCGTTGGATGTTTCCTTCTTCTTCTTCTTTGCAATGATCTCACTTTGTCAGTGGAATTGTAGAGGCTTCTCTAATAAGAAACTTGAATTTATTAATTTAATGTCGGATTATGATATCATCTGTCTACAGGAGACTTGGCTCAATCCTCTTACTAATCTTAATTTCAATAACTACAGTTGTTTTAGATATGACAGACCCAGAGATAGGATTGGCGGTGGTTCGGCCATCATTGTAAAAGTTCTCTAGACCCAGTATTGGCTGACATATTCCCTCCTAACTTTATGGGTTTTGAAATTTCATCTATATTTGCCTCATACCCTAATGCACGCTCTAGGAAACTATTAATCATTTCTATTTATAGACCACCAGAACCCAATGAAAGTTACCACACCTGAAAAGCCCTTTTTGAAAGAATTATTTTATATCATAACAAATTTGACATTATAGTATGTGGCGATTTCAATGCCCAACACCCTTCTTGAGGTTCCACTAGAAGCAACGCAGCAGGTAACTCCCTCTCTGAATACATCGTTAATTCTCCATTCAGTTTTCTTAACACCGGAGAAGGCACTAGAATTTCAGGAAACCCAAATTATATCATCGTCCCAAACCTAACGTTCACTGCCGCACATGAGTTAATCTTCAATTGGTCTATTTCAGAGGATGCTATGGGAAGCGATCATTTACCTATCATAGTTAATTTTGATTTCGTTAATCCATTATGTACGAACACTCTCGATCCTAACCTTCAACGAAGAAGTAAATTAATTCTAGACAAATGCGATAGTAAGCTATTCTCGGATTTGATTAACCATAGTTTAAAGTCTGAGGACATAATAGAAGGACCAGGAGCCGAGCAATATGATTCTTGGTACCACCAGGTCTTGAACTGTGCTGTGAAAGCCGGGGCTAAGATACTTGACGGGATGGGTCACACTAAAACCTATGATCATAAACAAAACTGTTTCACAAATATCCCAATTAATTCAAAATACAACTCCAATACCAGGACTAACAAACCTAAAAATAGAGTCATTAACAAACCCTGGTGGGATGACATATGCAAAAAGGCAATAGAAAATAGGAAAGAATGTTTTAAGAACTTAAAGCAATGTCCTTCGAGAGAAAATTTAAAATTATACAGAGAATCATCGCAAACAGCAAGAAAAACCATTGCCAAAAGGAGAAAAGAAAACTTTCAAAAATTCATTAATAATATTGACCTTTACTCCAACCCTAAAAACTTTTGGAATACCATTAACAAATTTAAAAAATCCACCTTTTTTCAAAACAATAAATCTCCAACCTCCAGTAGAATTAAATCCGTCAACCAATTCATTGATAATTTTGCACCTAGCGGAGCTTCTAATCAATAAATTGTCCAGTTAGGACAGAATTTAGTACTGCATTTAATGAACCATTTTGCTTCTTTGAACTAAACGAAATTATTCTTAATTTAAAACCGGACAGCAGCGCAGGCCCGGATATAATAAATAACGATATCCTTAAAATGCTACCCTCTCTAGCGGTAGAAAAACTCCTTTCAATTTTCAATTTAATTCTATCCGATGATTCTTTTCCTGAAGCTTGGAAGCAATGCGATGTTGTTCTTATCCCCAAACCAAACAAGAGTGATTTTAGACCAATTACATTGGCATCGTGCGTGCTAAAAGTATTCGAAAAACTTTTAAAACCTAGATTGGAAAGGTATGTGGAGATGGACTATCTATTATCGAACTCTCAATTTGGCTTTCGTAAGGGGAGGTCCTGCGATGACTGTTTAGCTATTATTAATTTAAACATATATAAGGCATTCTCTAAAAGATGTTCAGTCGGCGGATTGTTTTTGGACATTAAAGCCGCTTATAATAATGTCGAACCCGGGAGATTGTTCGATTCGATTAATTTACTTAAAATTCCAATTGGTTTTAAATGGTTCCTAAGGAACCTTATTCGCCCCAGAACCGCTAACTTTTTTTAATCAGGCGTCTTCTATGGTTCAAGACGTCTAAGAAAAGGCCTTCCTCAAGGGGTCGTCTTGAGCCCATTACTTTTTAACTTATATGTTAAAGATATCCTTTTCCATGTCCCTCACAACTGTCAGACTATCCAATTTGCAGACGATATCGCCATTTTATGCCAAGACTCTAAAATAGATTCTATTTTACACAGTCTATCATTAACTTTTGCAAGTTTAAATGAATGGCTCAAATCAATTAACTTAGAAATATCTATACCGAAAACCCAATTTATTATTTTTAGCCGCACTAAATCTCAAAACCCTCCTATTGGATTACAAATTGATGGAGACGTCATCCCTTTGAAACAATCAGTTAAATATTTAGGTCTCACGATGGACTCGAGTCTTAGGTGGCTCCCTCACATCAAAAGCTTACGGGAGAAATCAGCAACATTTATAAACATACTGAAATGGCTTTGCGGTAAAAGTTGGGGTATATCCCCCTCAGAAGGTATTAGTTTTATCAACGCCACAATTACCGCCCAGATTGATTGTGGAGCAATGTGGTTCGTTAGTGCGGCCAAAACATATATTGATTTAATTAACAAAACTATATGCTTCTCACTTAAAATTGCTTTAAACCTCCCAAGACATTCCGCTAATAAAATCACCTGGGTATTCTCCAAACAAGATTCCTTCTTAAAGAGGATCTCCAAGAAAACGGATAAATTCCTGTGCAAAGCCATTCAGCTTAAAAAAAATATATTAATTAACAACATCAACAATTTCTATCTGGACTCGATAAGAAAGAAAATAGCTACTAGTAACATTCCTTTCATAATCAACAGATGGCCTATTATCAAACAGTACAAATGTAATCTATATACTTGGGAATTCCATCCATACTTCTCCGCCAAAAGAATTTTCCCTCCTCTGAAAATTGAAGTAGACCTGGAATCAGGCAAGTTGGCTCAGGATAGTACAAACCCGAATTACTGTTTTGTTCAACTGATAAATTCGAAAAAAAAAACCCTAACGAGATTCAAATCTATACGGACGGTTCTAGAAACGAAGGAACAGATTCCAACTGGCGAGTAGGAGCCGCATATGCGATTCCTTCTCTTAATATTCATGGTGAATTCAAACTGAACAAATTATCAAGTTCATACATGGCGGAAATAATAGCCATTAGTAAGGCCCTGGATCTGCTGACGACCTATCAGTGGAATTCAGTTAATATTAATACCGATTCTTTAAGCACCCTCTCAGCTCTAATGTCGTGTTCGTTACCTATTCGCGGCAAAAAAACTCATTTTTGGAGTCTCAACCCGTCGATTAGGGATCTCTACAACAAAATCTGTTATTTTTTTAGAAATAACAGAAATATACGTTTTTCTTGGTGCCCAGCCCACATAGTCATCTTAGGAAATGAAGAAGCTGATTCTGCAGCTAAACGAGCTTTACAAGATGGCACTTTGATTAACAATAAAATTTTCGTAACGGAAGTACTGATGAATTGCAGCGATTCCTATATACAAATTGATAAAGCATTCCTTGACTCCTTAGTGGTTAGCAAGAACAATTGTTTCATAAATTGGTTCCAAGACTTCAACATTTGCTTTCTGAAAAAATTTTCTTTGAATAGATTAGAATCTGGACTACTGACTAGACTAATAACCGGACAGGAATGGTCGAACGAAAGAAGATACAAATGCGGCGTCCTGGATTCCCCCAATTGTAAATGTGGTG